ATTTGGCCTAGACTCTCCTGTTTCATCTCGCATGTTGTATAGCGAGCGCGAAAGTACTATCAAGGAATTATAATTAAGAAAGGGTGCGGTTTTATACCGGACCGAATGTGTAGATCTCGTGCTTGCATATCGCGCGCGACATTGAGATCAGCGTTGAACTTGACAAATAACTTGACGATAACTTTACAAGCGTTATAAAACAACTCAGTATTGCGGATTATATGTATTCGTTTTCTGATATTGCTTGTTTCAAACAATGATTGCGCAGAATGAAAGATCGCATGCTTGATTCAATTTAAAAGCAATTCAGAAAAGTAATGAATGCGAAAGAATAAAGAAATGAAAAACGTATATAGTAAAATATAATATGTTATCATAAGTTATAATTTGTTTCCTTTATTCATCAGTAACATTATTTTAGAATTCGTACAAAACACGCATTCGTAGATATTACATCTAGAAAAAGATGCAATTCTCAGTACTCGAATTTATTGCTACGTCGTTCGTTATTCTGTACGTTTTTGTTCTGTGAATGTTAAACAATCATTGCTTTCATATTTTGTTAGCAATTAAAAAGATTGGTAAATACAAGATCTAAATCTAGTAATGTACGAGTGATAAAATGTGTTCGCAGCACGTAGCAGTCATATATTCTCTTTAAAAACGTTAACCATACGTAAGTATCAAAAACACAGTAGAGCCACAATTGTACCAAGATTTAGATTTCTTACAATCTTGTTTCCCTTTATTATCTCCTAAAACGAAAAGAAAACGATTTATCGGAGAATTATATTTTTATTAAGAGGAAAAAAGAAAAAAGGATTACTCACTTTCTTTCTTCTCATCGACGGCAGTAGTTTTTCCAAACTCGCGACCAAAACTAAGGCAACCTACTAAGGATACTGTGGGGAACACTCTTTTGAATATTGTTGATTCTAAATAACCATCATTATTTAAATAAAATTCATTAAACATATCAGATTGACGAAATCGGCTTCCGAAGATAAATCCTATGGAATGTTTCTTTAACTTCACTTTGTCTTTAAATAAATTTAATCTCGCTTCCATTTGCTCTTCTGTATTGCATTCCCATTCCAAAATCATGGACCATGTCTGTATAGGACCAGTAATTAGAACGGCGACACAACGTGATGTAGGCAGTCCCTTAGAAAGTTCGATTTCTGTTTGTTCTCTGCACAAGCCAGCATGTGCACGTTGTTCGCGAATGTCTCTCACCACACCACCCCATACAGAGACTACTTTATTTTCTTGACTGAGTATATGCAAACAATAAGAAACAAATAATGTGTTATCGAGTATTAGCAGTTGCAGTACAAGAGTTAGACATACCTAAATATTAACTCGGATATGTATTATTGCTTTAATTAAATTTATATATTATACCTTTCCTGTATAGCTGAGGCCCACCTTTGTGCCGTTTCATGACCCTCCTGATTACAAAATAACATAAAACATGTCTCATGATTCGAAGTAGATATTTCATTATTTACAATTGTGCTAATTATCTCCTGATATTCGGCTGTTCTCGATATGATAAAATATTCTGGCAATTCAAACGATTTTACTCTCAGGTTCGGGATTTGTGGCAAAAACGCACATAACATATTTGGAGATTCATTATATTCTTTTTCCATAATAATACCATCATTATACAGTATTATAGTTTCACAATGTTTAGGCAAATTCTTTACAAGTTCTTGAAAAGAAAGAAGAATGATTTTACTAATCTTACATTATTCTGTGACTTATAGTTTCGCAATCTTTAAGTAGCAAATTCTTTACATGTTCTTGAAAAGAAAGAAGAATGATTTTAATAATCTTACATTATTCTGTGACTTACAGTTTGATGAAAAAATGGATAAAAGAAATAGTATTAAAATATGAAAAAAATAGTTTGTCATAAATTAGAATAAAATATTTACATACTTGCTACTGTTAATAGGAGCTTTTTATTTATCTGGTACTTATTTGTAGCATAGAGAAAAAATATAAAATATATACCTGCTATATCGTAATTTGTGTATGTAAGAACAAAAAGGAAACCTATTGATGGTTTAATTCTTATGTTCCTGATGTTCCATAAAAAATTGGAGGAATATTCTGTGTTAAATTCTATAAAGTAACAAGGACCTCTTGTCTTTTTCTCATTATTCGCAGCTTCTAACCAGGATCTGTAAAAAAATTGTATTCGTAAATTTATGCTGTTTACAATGTCACGTACTTTTCAGTCGCAATAGAACGATGTTAAATATATTATCATTAGTTAATAGTTTTATCATAAGTAAACTTTTAAAGTACAGTGATATAAGTAAAGTGATATAAAATATATGCCACAAGAGATTGTTTGTAAATCAAATCTTGTTCGTATCCATACACATGATAATAGAAAATTGTAACCATAGCATTTTGCTTGTAATAAATAAGTATTTAGAACTAAATCAAACATGGATCACTAATACAATGGATCGATACGTACCTGCAAACCATCGCAGCGCTCGCTAGATTCCTGCCATTTAAATGTTGAAATATATTTTTCAAAAGATAATAATTTAGAAGAACTTCCAAAACCGGTGTTTTTTCATTATTTTGCATTGTACCATTATCGTTTTTGGACACGCTAGATTTTTCCTTTTGAATTTTCCTTGGCTCCTCCATCAATCTTTTTCAGTTTAAACCAACCACTTGTCTCTCAAATCACACGATGGGCGCGTTCAAGCTGATGTAGCCGTTAGCCTGTTCACCGAACGACTGAACATGATTGGTTCTTATCTGTGAAGATAAGCGAATTAGTCATGTTCAGTCGCTCAGTGAGCCGACCTAGCGTTCTGTATCATTTCTTGTGCTTCACTGAATGTTAAACCAGGATAAAATAATCAATAATATCTTATAATATTACTATATGGCTCTGTGGTTAGTTTATGACATCTTTAGAGTGCCGTAAATCAATCAATATCACACATTAAATTGATAAGTAATTTAATAAGATATTTATGTTAATAGCATTTTAAAATACTTCGAAAAATTATTGTATAAGATATTAGCCGAACTACGTTTTAAGATCAAAAATTTAATTGACGCGTAATTTGTAGAATTGGGTATGTATACAAATTCATTCTGAAATATTAAGGACGAAGCTGAAAGCTCTAGCTCGTCGAAAATGCATTTAATTCTTTTTCTATTTGTATTTTTATATATCTAGTCTCATTGTCATTGTCACGGTTTAGTGTCATTGTTGTATTGCTTTTATTAATATTTAGACAAAAAATTGCACCTTAAATTATTTAGACTGATCTCTTCAGCATTAAAAAGAAAAATGGAAAGGTACCAAATTGTTACTTTTTAAGTAAGTGTAACTATAACAAGTTACTTTTAAAAGTAACTTAATTTGTATTCTTTGCAAATGTATAATATATTTAATATTTCTTATATGTACGTAATAAGATTAATTTACAATAAATAAACATTAATTGGCGAGAATTCATTTAATAACATGGAATAATTCTTTTTTTAAATATTTAATTGTTCGTTGATTTCATTCACAATTCTTGTGCTGACTTAATATTACAAATTTTTTTTATTAATTTAACAAAACACCGAAGTGAAATTGTTGCGAAATTAAAATCTTTTTAAAACCATATAATGTGTGAATTAGACAAGGTTCTACCATTTATTTACGAAATTTTTTCAAGCTTCGTCTTTTTTATAATGTCTTCAACAATTATAAACGAGTTCTTAGACTTTTTAATGTGCGAAAAGCGATCAAGATTCATCTTCTATCGCTTGTATGCCGAAAGAGGAAAGCTTTTGCGGTTTCTTTTTATTACGGTTTGTAAAAAGCTCCTCGAGCATTTTTCTTAACTTCAATTGTCGACGATTAGTCATATAGATATAATAGCAATTGCCCACTGAGAAGTTAACAATCGCCGCTGACGGCGAGACGGAAGCGGTTGTAAAAATGGTAATTCGCCGCATTCTTTGAATTGGTCGACGCAGAGATAAAATCATACGTAACGTTAGGCCAGGCCTTTTATCAATGCCAAAATACATGGACGGGCTTATGCTCGGCGATTGCTTTCGCTGAAATATTTCTCGGAGATTAAAGCGACGGAGGAGAAGATGTAACCGGTGCACGCTTTTGTAAGGAGAGACATCATTTAGCGCGACAAATACACAGAAATACGTAGCGACGGACGAGCATCGAAACGAACAAATACGTGTAAATACGTAATCCAATAAGTCTCTTCTTTCATCTTGGACCTTTAACACTGTTACCTGGGACCTGGGGCTGCCAATTGCTGTCAGGTATGAATATCCATTTCTCTCCTTAGCCGTCGTATCTTTGGCGCAAACCGTCTTCCCATTGGTGCGAATGAACAGAATACTCACTGCAGTATAACAAAAATGAAAATTTGTTCCGATACTATCCTACTGATATTTAATATCGTTAAGAGCAAGAGGAATTCGATCGTGAGTTGTAGTGCAGGCTTCGCATTAAAGCTACGAATCACGATCGCAGCAATTAAATCACTGGTGTCGAATGGAGACACCTTTTTAAATCTTGTCGGTAACACGATAAGACGATGGTACTCTTTCGTTTCTCTCGTTCCATTTTGCATTTTGTATCACGAGCGCGGAAATACTGTCAAGAGGGGGATTATAATTACATTTAGAAAGGGTGCAGTTTTATGCTGAGTGTGCAGAACTCGTGTGCAGACCTCGTACTTGCATATCGCACGTGATGTTGAAATTAGCGTTGAAGCTGGCAAACGAACAATAACTTAATTTACAAGCGTTATTAAGCAACTCAGTATCGTATATTATTTGCATTCGTTTTCTGATATTACTTGTTTCAAAGATATTGTTTGTTTTGGAGTGAGATTCATTCCAAAAGAGTGAAAATTCACTCCAAAAAAGTGAAAGTCACTTCAGAAAATTTAGAGAGAAATAGTATTAAAATATCCAAAAAATAGTTTGTCACAAATTAGAATAAAATATTTACATTTGCTATTGTTAACAGGAGCTATTTATTCTGATACTTATTTGTAGCAGAGAATATGAAAAAACATAAAACACATATTTTGTACAGCACAAATAAAACAATATTGTTTATAAAATAAATATAAATAGCCGATAAAATAGCAATTATTGTTGAAAACAGTCTCTAAGTAAAAATGATGTATAATAATCAATATGCTTTTATTTTGTTATTTGCATTGACCATTTAACTGATAAAAAAGCATATATTTCGCAGAAATAATTTTGCTCAAACAATACTATTAATTAAATTTTAAATTACGTAAGGCTATGTGGAATTTTAATAAATAAACTACATAATGTCTTTCAAATCTCCAAATTCGCGGTAATCCAAGGTAAAAAACTGGATACTCTTGTAAAAACAAATGGATCTTGAAAGCAACTATTGATCTCGGGAACGATTCCAATTTGAACTCCATTAACCACCAAAGGACTACCAAAATCATTCTGAAATAAAAATTAATGTTAAAATACTAATATCATATCTGTAAGTATTATTTTATTTTTATTATTGCAAATTATTATTATAGTAGTGTAAAAATTTGATCGGATCATAATTATATTTTATTATTATAATTTTTATATTATTACAAATAACTTTGAGAGCGCTTTCTACTGTCATGGCTGGATATTAGTGCCTAATAAATTCTGTATTTTAAGATGCTTATAGGCATTTAATTAAAAATTGAAGATCAATTGTTATTCCAGCTTTAACTAATGATTGCGTTAGAAATTTGACTGTTGATTTGGCATGCAGTTCAAATGGCTGATTAATATATTTAAAAATTTATATAGAATTTATTAGGCACCAAGATACAACCTTGAGTGAAAAAGGCGCTCTTAAATTTATTTGTGTTATTCACTTACGCGATCTAATTTAAATTAATATTGTTTTATATTATTTATATATTTTTAAAAATATATTAAAGATATATATGTATTGATTTGTGTTAAAGCAAAAATTTAATTGGTTTATAATTATGTGCTTTTAATATTATAATCATTATATTATGAATATCATTTTTTGATGGTGATAAATATAACACAATAAAAAAACACATACACACAGAGGTGTTTCCTAACATGTGGGACTCACTTCACTGGTGAACAGTGAACGTTGAATTTATTGGCAGCAATTCGTAAATGAACGATGTTTTAACAAATAAATAGGTCGTGCAGAACTTATGGTTGCGCATTTCCTCAGACTTAAATCCATTAGATGTTTAATGGTGTGAGGACACACTTGAAAATTGTTCATTCCTATTGATAATACGGAAATACTTTGTGAATGTATATAAGGAGACTTATAATAAATTTAAGGAATACCGGGTAGTTTTGAAAATGTACGACAATCTACACGGCAACGACAGCATGTTTGCATTCAGGCCGAAGGTGATTATTTTGCACTTTTTATAAGGTAACCAGCTCCATATTACTGGAACAAGTATGTATTCTGTAACTCGGAATATGACTGTAATATAACTATAACTCGGAAACAAAGACAAACGGAGCATATGTTTATCATTGTTTTTGTGTCTCCTGTCTACCAGTAAAGTAGATCCTACATGTTAGGAAACACCCTGTATATACATATATGAATTGGTTTTTTATATTAAATGATCGATGGCTTACGCATGTTGATGTGTTTCTGGGCAATAAACCGCAGATGTGGCTCTCGATAAAATACCAATATTTTTCCTTGCACTCGCTCTGCAAACAAACTAGTGACTCAATTTCTTGTAAGATCGAATTAAAATCACTTTCCTAAAAAGAACAATTGCATTAGAATATATGTTTTATTCTTGAATATGTATAACTGCAAAAATCTCATGAGTTTGATATTACCCCATATCCCCATCCGGATAACGTGCACAACTGGCCCAAGAAATCCTCATCGGATGTCGGAAGTTTAACTGGCTGCACTAGCTTATTGTATCTGATAGGATATTTAAGGTGAATCAAGGCGATGTCATTACTATATAAATTAATGTCGTAATTTTGGTGAACAGTAATACTGGTCACGTCATGAACATATCCTGGCGTGTCCAATAAGTTTGTGCCGACATGGACCTTCAAATCTTCATTCCATTGCACCCTACAAATAATAAAAAAGTAGATAAGAACTCAAATTTGTCAAGAAAAATTTTTTAAAGTATTTGCTATATATTTTAATTACATAAAAAACCAGTAAAAATAGAACAGAATCTGCTAATGAAACACGGTACATTGATTGCAAAAATTAAACAGAATCTGCTGTGACTAAACAATTAACAATTAACAATTTTAAATAATGTATTCCGTTTAAATATTTACGAAATGATAGATTTTGTTCAGTTCCTGTCCATAATTACAGTTAATTTGTTAGATTATGTAGGCAGATTTTTCCTATATAATCCTGCCAGCAAAACGCGAGTTTAATGTATACGCCAATGACATTGTTATAATATCTAAGTAAATCTACTGCCAATCCGTTGTGGTATTGCTGGCACAATTTGCTTACTAGGATATACATTTCATTGTTAAGAGACTAGTTTTACAATTAAGTTTCATTAATAATGTATTGATATAGTTTGAGAATGTTTAACGTACCCTTTTCCGACAATACAATGTGCAGATGTTAACACATTAAGATTATCAAGGATAGATCCGCTGCATATATGTGATTTGTTTAATCTCAATGACACTTGATACGGAAATTTGCCGATGGGAGCATTCTTACCACCTTTGATATGAGGAGACGGAACTCCTTATTGACAAAAAAGAATTAATCGATGTTAATTAATATACGCACAAAGTAATATGTTACATTACAGTATACATACACTGTTAATAGCAATTAAAATTTGTGTCGATTCTATGGCTAAATATGTTTTTATTAAATAACTATATTGTAAAAAAAAGGGCTATAATGAGTAAGCAGGTAAGCAGTGTGCAAATGTAAGGTTTTAATCAGTGCTATAATTGTGATTAGTAATACATAATATTTTTACATGACTACACACTTAAATTTATTTTTAAAACCATTAATAACAAATTAAGGTACCTAATTAAAAACCATATAAAAAAACAACAGAACATATCATAGAAACTGAAAAGATTAAAAAACATATGTGGTTTACAATACCATATATAAAAACATTTTCAAATCAATTCAGAAATGTTATTAAAAACACTAATACTAGATTAGCATTTTTCAGCATAAACAAATAAGTATCAAAGTATGTATATAAATATATAGACGATCTGTAAAGATCCTCTCCATAAATTGATAAAAAAGAACATATATAGTTTACGAAATTAATTGTAAGGATTTTGTAATCCTAGCTATATTGGTCAAATAGATAGACAACTAAAAATGAAAATAAAGAAACATTGAAGTTACATTCAATGGACCACAATCAATTAATCAATCCGTAATAACCAACCATAGGATGCATTTCAACTACGAATTTGACTGGCAAAATATTGAAATTTTTGGATGTTGAAAAAATTTTAAACAAAAAACAAAAATCTAAAATGCTACATATAAAACAGCAAACAAATGGTTAACTTTACAGACACTGAAGGATGAAATCAAGCATATATATTCCACTTATCAATAAAACATAAACAATGCCTGTACCTTTTTTAATATTCTTACTTGACATTGCGCCCGTTTTTATTTGTCGGATTCTCATTTTAATTTGTTACTCCGTGCTTGTTGGATGTGTTTGTGATTGTCGGTTTGACTCTGGATTAATGAATATTGTATTAATTTTTACTTTTGGATCGTTTTAATTTTTAACATTAATTTTACAATGTGCTCGGTCGTCAATTGCACAATGAGATAAGTTCTTCAGTATTGGTTCTCCAACTGACTTTATGAGAGAATAACATTACTATTGTAATATATATATATATATGTGTATATGTATATATATATATATATATATATATATATATATATATACAGCCTTTTTATCCGGCTATGGAACTCTTGATAACACTTGCACGACATTTGAAAGCCTGGATCGACAATTGACAGACCGAGCCTCATCGAATTGATGCGTTGACCTTCGAATTTTTGCTAGGCTGAGAATGGCTTAAACAGAGCTGGTTATTATAAAGATATTATGAATTACTAATCGTAATTATATCACTAGTTTAAAACATAAAACCTTACATATATTTGCACACTGCTTACCGCGCCAACTCCTCACAGCCCTTTCTTCAAAATATTGTTTGTTA